ATGGATGGAGTAGGGATACCTAGTTCCATGTATGGGGATCCCCATGCTGCTCGATCCATGCAGCCCGTTCACCATCTGAACCACGGTCCACCTCTGCACTCCCACCAATACCCGCACACGGCCCACACCAACGCTATGCCCCCCAGCATGGGCTCTTCAGTCAATGACGCTCTGAAGAGAGATAAAGATTCCATTTATGGGTAGGTACTGCTGGCATCACATTCTGCAACCACACTGCTGCAAACTTCACCAAACTTCTACTGTCTGTACTGCCAACCATCAGACCTGGATCTCACGATCATTGCTCTGATGGCAACTTAGGAGTTCATTTACAAGGAGTTCAATGGAAGTGCAAAATTAAATATCACAAACTGACTGCGTGCATGTCTATTTTGTTAGATGTCTCCACAATTATTACTATTCGGTTTTTTTTAGTCTAGGTAGAAGATAAACGTTAAAATAAGTATAAAAATAATAATGAACCTTAATTATTATTTTTAACAGAATTAGCTATAATGATGGGGGTAGTTAACCATTTGGCAGTACTGAATATGGGGCTATATTGCCAAGAAAAGTGTATTTATGGATGCATTCTGCAATATAGGCGTGTTGTATGTGTGCTGTGTGTATGTAATAGTATATATATAGAAAGAATAAAAGATAGATTATGAAATTAAATATATATATATATATATATTAAAAATTGTGTGTGTGTATATATATATATATATATATAAATATATATATGTATATATATACACACACACACAAAAAATATGTACACATATATATTATGAATAAATGAAAATAATAAAAATAAATTACAAAATTAAAAAATAAAATAAATAATATATATGTATACACATACAGTATACATAAAAGGAAAAAATTTTATATATATATATATATATATATATATATATATATACATAAATTAAAAAAAAGTATACATATATATCATGCATAAATGAAAATAATAAAGAAAATTACAAAATTAAAAAATAAAATAAAAAATATATGTATACACATATATTACACATAACTGACAATTTTTAAAAATTAAATATACATTACATAAATGAAAATAAAATATGTATACACATATATTATACACAAATGGAAATAATATATATATGATTATATATATACACATCATAAATAAAAACTAAGATAAAAAAGTATACACGTATATGTAAATTTGTATATATATATTACATAAATGAGAAAAATATATATTATACAGAAATAAAAATGTATAATATATATCATAAATACAATTTAAAAAATATATGTATACACATATATGACACATTAAATGAAAATAATAAAAATAGCTTTCCTCATGCAAGCACACAAGCTACATAACGTGTAAGTGTTTGAAGAGCCTATATATGTTCACATGCATGCCTGCCTATGACAAGGGCTTTGCTCATTTAATTTTTTTGTATTTTTTAAATCGTTCTTGTCTCCTAAATAGACACGGCATTGTTGTGCTAGAGTAGCTCTATTTTTTTTTGCTATAGATGTCTTGAAAGGGCTTAAATAAATTAAAACAACACGCTCTGGTTAATGTGAAAACACGTGTAATCTCCCTAATTTGTCGCTTACGACTCCTAATCTTTTGTAGCCATGGAGTTTATTTAAACGCATAGTTTGCAGGGCAATGCTAGCCCATCTCAGCCCCCCACTTGCCCAAAACCCTCTCCTCTCCCACCCCTTAGCTCCATAGAGGCAGCCTGCAGTTTACGCAGGAAATGGAATAAATTACTTTAAACACTTTTAATTGAGTTAGAAGGTTAATGGAATTCCCTGTCCTCCTTCTCAGAGTACCTGATTTAGCCGCATTAAAATATTAAAAGACTTAGCTCCGTTTTCATAGAAAAAGGCATTATGGCGTGTGCTAAATGAGGTGACATAAAATTCAGTAGTTTAACTTTTTTTTTTTTGAAGAATGTAATATTGCAATCCAAATTCTCGTCTGCCCTTTAGGTAAAGATTTATTAACTGATTGCCTACCTACTGATTACTGGAAGGATTCTAAAATCATTAGGCTGTTTCTCTCTATATATATATTTTAAGGAGTAGATTTAGCTGCTTTATCGTATCATTTAAAATCCCCATCCGTGCATTGAGCCTGAGATCTCCCAGTCTTTTTTTCTACTATGGTTTATTTATGCCTTGAATAGTGAAAGAGAGCGAAGGCTAATTGCATTGGAGTGCTAGGCTGGTCTGTGTCTTGTGTGTGCTGATTGTCTTTGCCCAGGGCCTCTGGTGTTTTGCCCTGGTGAGAGCAGCATTGAGCTGGGAGGGGCAGGGGGCATCTGTCCTCTTGATCATGTGGCTTTTTTTTTTTTTCTTTTTCTTTTTTTTTTTCACAGACAGCCCTTTAGCTTGTTGTACAGCTAGTCCTTGTTTTATTTATTTATTTTTTTTAATGTGTGTTATTTTTGTTGATTGCTGTGCTTCTCTTGCAGACACCCCCTGTTCCCTCTGTTAGCACTGATTTTTGAAAAATGTGAACTAGCTACTTGTACCCCCCGAGAACCTGGAGTAGCAGGCGGTGATGTGTGCTCCTCTGAGTCTTTCAATGAAGACATTGCAGTGTTCGCCAAACAGGTCAGCCAAACAATGCAAGATGCAAGCTACACTACCACCAAGCAAGCACACACACCATTATAATAAAGATCACACACACATAAACTTTGTCCTGACCCGTCAGAACCCAGGATGCCTTATTGATCCCCTCCACAGTTATTGAGCAACGCTTTGTAGATGATCTGGGATTATTATTAATGTCCTACCTAATCGGAGGGGAAAATAGACACCCTGACAGATGGAATGTCAGTCTATTAGACACACTAGTATTATATACTTCTCATACACCAGCCTGGTGCTGCTTAGATCTGCTGCTGTTTTGTTCAGTGGGACTCAAACTCTTTTTTTTTTACCCCCCACCCCTTCCCCTTTATGTGGCTTCAGATTCGTGCAGAAAAACCCCTGTTTTCCTCAAACCCGGAATTGGACAATTTGGTAAGAAGTGACAAAATCCTTTTTTTTTTTCTTCTTCTATGTCGTGTTACTTGCTTGTTTAGTTGGCACAGAGCTCTTAATTACAAGTAATACAGTGTAACAATTTGGTCTAAGTAAATTACACAGTGATCAGAAGGGAGCTCTGCGCTTCTTAGTAAATGAGATGGCCTTTTTTTATGACACCCACTAAGTGACTGCAGTAATCAGCTTCTTGGTTTATTTAGGGTTGTCAAATCCTTTAGTGTTTCTCTCTCTGCTATCACATCCCCCCCAAGAGTTGTAGACAAACAGATTGAAAACACATCAAAAGCCCCCCACTATTTGGGGATTTCAATGGAAAGGCATAAAAAAGATAGCCAGAAATCCTACACCATTTGCTGCACTGGATTTATATTTGAACTCACTTGATATTGAAAGAGTCTGGATTGTGTTCTGCTGATTTTGTATCAGTCACATTAGCAGAGCCAAATACATTGTTAGGGAAACGTGTGCTGAAAATTCTTTCTTTCTTGCTTTCTTTCTTTCTTGCTTTCTTTTTTTTCTCTTACTTTTTAAAAAAAAAAAAATGTGCAGCACCTTTTCTTCTTCTATTGTTTGCACCTCTATTAGAACTTTATTTATGCTCTTCCCCCCAGGTGATCCAAACTATCCAAGCTTTCTTTTCTTTCTTTCTTTTCTTTTTCTCTTTCTTTTTTTTTCTCCTTCTCTCTCTTTCTTTCTTTTCAAAATTTTACTGCAGCATTCTTTATTCTGTTGTTTGCACCTAGAACTTTATTTATGCCCTCCAGGTGATCCAAACTATCCAAGCTTTCTTTCTTTCTTTCTTTCTTTTTATTCTTTCTTTCCCTTTCTTTCTTTCTTTCTTTCAAACTTTCCTTTCTTCTTTCTTTCTTTCTTTCTTTCTTTTTCTTTCTTTCTTCTTTCTCTCTTTTCTTTCTTTCTTTTCTCTTTCTCTCTTTCTTTTTTCTCTTTCTCTCTCTTTCTTTTTTCTCTTTCTCTTTCTTTCTTTTTTTCTTTCTCTTTTCACTTTTTCTTTCTTTTCACAATTTTACTGCAGCATTCCTTCTTCTATTGTTTGCACCTAGAACTTTACTTATGCTCCCCATCCCCCAGGTGATCCAAACTATCCAAGCTTTCTTTCTTGCTCTCTCTCTTTTCTCTTTCTTTTTCTTTTTTTCTTTCTTTCTTTCTTTCTTTCTTTCTTTCTTTCTTTCTTTCTTTTCTCTTTCTTTCTTTCTTTCTTTCTTTCCTTCTTTCTTTCTTTCTTTCTTTCTTTCTTTCTTTCTTTCTTTCTCTCTCTCTCGTTCTTTCTAATGATGCATTTCTTCTTCAATTTTTGCACTTTTATTAGAACTTCATTTATGCCCCCCCCCCCATCCAAACTATTAAAGTTTTCTTTCTTTTCTCTCTTTTCTCAATTTTACTGCAACATTCCTTCTTCTATTGTTTGCACCTCTATTAGAACTTTATTTACCCCCCCCCCCCCCCCCCCCCCCCAGATGATATAAACTATCCAGACTTGCTTCTTTTCTTTCTATCTTTCTTTTTTTTTCCAAGGCATTTGTACTGCAGTATGCCTTGTTTTGTTGTCTACACTTTTATTAGTATTTTATTTATGCTTTTGTTTCCCCACCAGATGATCCAAGCTATCCAAGTATTACGATTTCATCTGCTGGAGTTAGAAAAGGTAATGCAAGCTGCAGAGATGGGAGTAACAAGCTCCAGCTAATAGTGAATTTGCATAAATGTCTTTATTTCTGGTTCTGTGTAATTAGTGTCAAGACCAATCACGGAATCCATTGCTCTTCTCAGTTTAATTGCGATTTCAGCTACTAGAACCAGGATCACAAACAGCCCAGGCCTCGTGTTCCTTTTAATACCTTCCTCTGGCTTTTGCGCATTCTGTGCTGTCTCCAGCCATTTATCCGCATTTGAAGGCAGCCAAACATTTCGGAGCGCTAGATGGGGGTTTTCGAGACATAAAAAATAAAATAAAGCTTAAAAAGTGGAGGGGTGAGATTCAGGATGTTGCTGCGAGTTTTTTTTTTTCCAGAGACAAAGCAAAGCTGGTTTTATCAGCTTCTCCACTCTGGGACTATTCCTGAATGCTGAAGGGAGAAGGATGATAATGTGATTTTACTAGCTGTTTTGCATTTGAGCAATAAAGGGTATTGCAGTTTGATGCCAGCCATAAAAGTTGTATGCGAAGCTTGGAGACTTTTTTTTTTTTCGTTTTATTTATTCAGTTTCTGTTCGGGTTTAAATATTAAAGCACTGTAAAGCTCCTGAATCCAATGCTTTAGATTTCTTTTTTTTTTTTCAAAGATTCTCTTTTGCTTATTTACTTCTGCTGTTAGGTTTAGGATGTATCCTTGTAGTATCATTTTAAGGCTTAAAGAGCCCATTGCTGTCAGCATTGCCGGGGATGTGCCAGTGTGCTCTCCACATATATTTCTTTAGGCTGCATTCTTATACTATTGTTTTTAGGCTTCCGTCTTAAAGAGCCCATCACTGTCAACAAAGCTGAGTATTGGACTAGGTGCTTATTATATATTGTATCCTTGCAGAATTATTTAGGCTTCTGTCTTAAAGAGATCACTGTTAGCATAGTCAATGTGCTTGTTTTATATATATATATATATATATATATATATATATATATATATATATATATATATACACATTACTGTATCCTTGCAGAATCATCTTAAGGCTTCTCTTTTATAGAGATTGACACTGTTAGCATAGCCAAGCATTTTCCAATGTATATATATGTATATATATATAATCCATGTATAATTATAGTTTTTTTCTATAGTCAGGATACATAGCCTAGCAGCATTTGCTAAAGTGTGTGTGTGTGTGTATATATATATGTATATAAATAATAATATATATATAATAATTCTCTTTAAAGAGCTCATCACTGTTAGGTGTCCGTTTGTGAACCAGAGAATAGCTGCGATTCAACGGATCTCAGCTATTCTCTGGTCATTCACAGTTTATAACACTCAGGAGATCCTGTCAGCCCTTCTCTGGAGATCTGTGTTTCCGTCCAGATTCTCCAGCCCAGAGCTGGAGAATCAGAGGGACCGAAAACTAAGCAGAGATAATTTACCTCTGCTTAGTAAACTGGTCTTTTACTATAATCTGGAGAGATTATAGTAAAATGAGCCGTTTTTCACAGTTTGTAGACCGTTATCCAGCGTTTGGAAACCGTTGTCCCTTCGTTCGGAGAACTGCTTCATAAACTGCATTCACAGGAGAACTTTGTTCTCCGAGAATGCCGGAGAACTGAGCAGCGATCTATTACCTCTGGTTCACAAACGGACACCTTAGCATAGCCAAACGTGCAAATGTATCTCTCTATACATTTATATTATGTTTTATATATATATATAATCCCTGTATATAATTCCATTTTTTTTTTCTATAGCTAGGATGTGCAGCCTAACATTTGTCAATGTGTGCAATGTGTGTGTGTGTGTATATATATATATATATATATATATATATTCTTCTCTTTTAAAGAGCTCATCACTGTTAGCATAGCCAACCATGTGCAAATCTCTCTCTCCAGATTTTATATATATATATATATAATCCTTGTATACGATATTTTTTTCTATATCTAGGGTGCATAGCCCAACATTTGTCAGTGTGTGTGTATATAGATATATCTATATCTTTATATATATATATATATATATACTGCACCCTTGCAGAGAGGATTTAAGGCTTCTGTACTAAAGAGCCAATCACTATACTATGTTACTATAGCCAAACATTTGCCAGTATATACGTATCTATACCTCTATCTATCTATATCTATCTATCTATCTATCCTGCATTCTTGCAGATAACCATGTATATATATATATACTCATCCTTGTATAGTTAACAATTTGTTATATATTTAGGATGCATCCTTGTAGTAATAAATTCTCTTTTAAAGAGGCCATTGCTGTTAGCATAGCCAAATATTTTGTCTATATGTGTGTGTGTGAGATTCTGGTTTCACGTTAAGGTTTCGGTTGATAAGGTTGCCCATTGATGTATAAATGTAGATTGCACCCTAAAACCCTTCTAATATCATTTTAAGGCTGTAGGTCTTAAAGAGCCCATCACTGTCATCCTAGCCAAGTATTTGCTGTTTTCTTTTTTCTCTGCCCCCCCCCCCCCTTCCCCTCCCCCTCCATAGCCTTGAGCTGCCCCTCCACGGCCCCTGTGATGATATAACTAGATGAAATTAAATAGTTTACTTTAAATGTCACCCATGCAGGTCAGCTCTCTCGTGGTCACAGCCCCGGGAGCAGATGAATTTAACACGGGTGTTGAATTTGTTGTAGCTTGTGAATCATCTTGTCAGTGTCAATTTTCCAGGATATCTCTATTTTAGCTGAAAAAAAAAGGAAAAAGGGGGGAAAGTTATTGGGGTCTCCTGGGGATGGTGGCAGGGTGTTGTCGGACTGGCCGGCCCCGACCCGTCCAGTTTGCTGCTGTCACTTGTCCCGATCTCGGGGTGGTTATGATCTCATCTGCCGGCTTTTACTGTTTATTTATTTTGCCTCTTTTTCTGTTTGTGTCTCTGTCGGCTGGAGCAGGTACACGAACTCTGCGACAATTTCTGCCATCGGTATATTAGCTGTTTGAAAGGGAAGATGCCCATAGACCTGGTGATAGAGGACAGGGAAGGGGGATCCAAGTCGGACAGCGAAGACATGACCAGATCGGCCACCCTCACAGACCAGGTAAGCCGATCGGCAGATCTCGATCGTTTATGGTTTCTTTTGTATTTCTTTTGGGTCATGTGATGAGTGTTGGTGAATAGCGGCTTCCAACAGGCCGGCTTTGGGATTCGAACTGGCAGCTGTGAATAAGCCCCAACCGGCCAACGTGTCCTGATTGATGTGGGTGAATGCTCAGCGTGTCTGATGTGCGGTGCGGACAGTCATTGGAGCCTGGCTGGGCTCGATAGCCAATCAGAAGCGAAGCTCTGAGCGCAGAGCGGCCGAGTGCGGGGTGCGGGGCGCAATGCGGAGCGGTCCGCGGTTCTCCGGACCCGGCGCTGTGTGTAGGGACCGACATGAAGGCCGGGTTGTACGCTTCATTAGCCGCCTTGGCCGGGCTCATTCAGAGCTCAGTGTACATTGTACACAAAGCGCCCCTTCCCTCCCCACCGGGGGGTCCCGTGTCCGGCCGGGACAGTGATGGCATTCTGGCCTGTGTACTCTATGGAGGGAGCTGAGGGGACCGGCCCCGGAGGACAGTATGGGGGGCCCTAGGGGACTCCTCAAAGAGACAAGGGGGAGGGGAGGGGGGCTCATTTCACACTCAGATCCTAACCTGCTGGGTGGGTGGTTATGGCTCTCTATCAGGATTACATTGTATATAAAAACAAATACTGGCCATACTGGGGTTAATGTACAAAATCACTTTACAAGAGAAATCCCCCTTAGATTAGTGAATGAGTGTGGGGGAGATTTACCAAATCTGGTGCATCCAAACCAATCAGCTTCCAGGTTTTATTGAACAAGCTGATGCTGCAAATTGATTGGCTACCATGCACAGCTGTACCAGATTTTACACTCTACAGTTTTTAGTAAATCTCCCCTTTGCTGGTTTCTTTTATCCAATAGTGTAAGCAAAAATTCCCCCCCTTTTTTTTTCCCACACATGATTGGATATTCTCTGTAAAGTATATTTCTACCTGGTCATTAGTCTAAGGCAAAGTGAAAATGCTCTATTCTATTAGCAAATTAATATTGTTATATTATTGTTATTATTGTTTTTCCTGTAGAACCAACAATTTACTCAGTGCTTTATATACTCTACATTCTTATCAGATCAGCCTCATTGCATCTTGTCAGCCGTAGGCCCACCACATATGTTACAATCTGACCAAACAACTAACTTTAGATCTACCAAAACTATGTAATATGGGGACCTACCTAGACTACCCAATCCATTTTTATACAATCAGGCAGGGTGATGTACTTCATAGTTGTTGGTGGATCTAAAGTAGGAGTCTCCAAATGTTCTAAACAAAGGGCTAGTGTTCTGTTCTTCAGGCTTGGGGGGATGGTCTGTCAGAGCAGAACATGCCCTGGTGTCAATGGGAGTAAACAGCACCAGTGTCAGCAGAAGGAGTAGTGCTCCATCATAGGTATTAGTGGGAGGAATAGTGTTCCATCGTTGGTATGGGGGGGGGGGGGGGGATAATGCCCTGTCATTGGTGTCAGTGGGATAAATTGTGACCCATTGTTGGTGTCAGTGGGAGGAATTGTGCCCCATTGTTGGTGTCATTGGGAGCAATAGTGCCTCATTGTTGATTGTTGTTGTCAGTGGGAGGAATTGTGCCTGATTGTTGGTGTTGCTGGCAGTAATATGTCCTCATTGTTGGTGTCAGTGGGAGGAATTGTGCCCCGTTATTGGTGTCATTGGGAGTAATAGTGCCTCATTGTTGCTGTCAGTGGGAGGAATTGTGCCCTATTGTTGGTGCCATTTGGAGTACTGGTGCCTTTTTGTTGGTGTTGGTGGCAGGAATTGTACCCCATTGTTGTTGTCAGTGGGAGGAATTGTACCGCATTGTTGGTGTCAGTGGGAGTAATGGTGCCTCATTGTTGGTGTTAGTGAGAGGAATTGTGCCCCATTGTTGGTGTCAGTGAGAGGAGTAGTGCCCCATTGTTGGTGTCAGTGAGAGGAGTAGTGCCCCATTGTTGGTGTCAGTGTGAGAGGAGTAGTGCCCCATTGTTGGTGTCAGTGGGAGGAATAGTGCCCCATTGTTGGTGTCATTGGGAGGAATTGTGCCTTATTGTTGGTGTCAGTGGGAGGAATAGTGCCCCAAGGGCTGGTTATAGGCAGGCAAAGGACCTCATCCGCCCCCCCCCCCCCCCCCCCCACGCAGCAATTTGGAGACCACTGATCTAAAGCAATCCTAAACATGTATGATGCACCTTAAGATGTGGCGACTGCATTGGTTTTCTTTTAACAGGCTTCTACTTTAATTTTGATCTGTGATCCTGCCAGTAATACACTTCCTGCCCGTGATAATGCTCACACATTACACTGTGTCTAGGAAGGAGTAATGTTCTCATCCTAGGTTGCTTTCCTGATATATACTACCCCCTTCATCTTTGTTTCAAAGGAGGGAGATGTTTTGTAGTTCACAGATCACTGGGAAAGCTGGTGACATTGTTTTAGATATCACTCCAGTGCACAGGAGGTAATAGGGATGCCTGATTTCTAGTAGGATCAACAAGTGTTTGTTTTGTACTTTTGAAAATATTCTTAGCCTGAAAACTGAAAACTAATGAAACCACCACAGTGGAGGACTCACAAGCTGCAATATATAACATTTTTGTAGGTTGAGATATGCTTTAACGCAGTGTATATATATATATATATATATATATATATATATATACACACATATATAGCAACAAGGCCTTGATTAGGAACATTTTATAAAGATTTTAAGGAATCTTTAGCCTATATCCTATACATAGGAATATATATATATATATATATATATATATATATATATATATATAGTTATACACACAGTTTTTTTGGGTTTTGTTCCTGTCATGAAGACACAAGAGGAAGTAAGAGGAAACTCATTATTCCTTCTTAGACAGTTGGCACTGGAAAAGGTACCTCTCCTCTTCTGTTCTAGTGACAGTTGTAACATTTTGGATTTCATATCTCCTTCTATGAAAGTCACAAAGTCCATGCTTCTGCAGTTGGGAACACAGAGAGCAATAAAAAGCTGTCATGGCTTCTAACCCTTCCCTACTTAATACGTAAAAAAGAATGGCTTGTTTTTTGTGTGAAACAATGAATATTTATATTTTAGTATTTTTGAATATAAGGCAATGAATGACAAGAGTTTTATACTGGTTTTAAATACCGATAATGGGGGTGATTTAATTAAAGGAAAAAAATACAATCCCAGCTAAAAACAGCCAGTTTGGTCAGGCTAAAACATATAAGTAAAGATTAGATTTGGAACTGTTATTCAGATAATTTAGAATGGACAACAAAGGGGAGATTTACTAAGACTGGAGAGTGAAAAATATGGTGCAGCTCTGCATAGAAACCAATCAGCTTCCAGGATTTAGTCCTCATGCACACTGGACTTTTTTACAGTGGCTGGTTTTGGTTTTTGGGCATTTTTTGCTACAGCCATTAAACTCCCCAGCATGTTATCCTATTGGTCCATGCACACATAGGCTTTAATCAGCATTTTTTGGCAGGGGAAAAAACCGCCTAGAACTAGTGGGTTTCTAGAGGAGTTTTTTAGCTGTAAAACGTTCTAACACTGAAAAACACAGTAAAACGTGTCAAACCAGCATTTGTGGGCATTTATTTGAGCAAAAATAGTATTTTTTTTGGTGCAAAAAATGCTAAAAAAGGCAAAGGCGGCTAAATGCTAATGCTAAAAACTGCTGAAAAACGTGCGTTTTTAATGCGACTTTACACAGCTAATGCCCAGTGTACATGTAGCCTTAATGTCCAAGCGTCAGAACAAGCTGAAGTTAGAAGCTGATTGGTTACCATGCACAGCTGCACCAGTTTTAGTCAATCTCCCACTATGTATCTTTTTGTTAAACTGAAGATTGTTTTAATACCCCAGATTAACAAATGCATGTTGAATTCAAGCAACCAATCAGGTTAGTGGGGATATTTAAAAATGTTGGATTTCCAACAAACGTGATTGGCTGCCTGAAATAAACACACATTTGGTGGTCTGGTAACTGTTTGGTAAGTGAACCAATAAGAAGTGAAAAAAATTGTGTGAATATTGAAATTTATTTATCTAGTCATACGAAAAGCATCTGAGGATATATACAGTAATCAGGAGGGGTTTTTTAGTGATTGGATAAATGCAGTGAATACTCACACAAGTACCTGAAATAAAATATATAAATTTATTTTTATTGAGGATCCTCAACTTCTTTAGTGAATGAGCCCCATTGTGTTATCTATTGGCTGTACTGTTTGAGTTTTACAACAGGGGTAGGCGACCTCGGCAGTCCAGCTGTTGTGAAATGACAAGTCCCCGGAGACATTGCAAGACTGACAAACACAGGCATGACTTTAAGTCTTCATGCACACTGGACATTTTTACAGCTGCTGGTTTTGGCTTTTGGCATTTTTTTTCTACAGTCAGTAAACACCCCAGCATGTTATCCTATGTGTCCATGCACACATAGACTGTAATCAGCATTTTTTGGCAGTAAAAAACCCAGATCTAGTGGGTTTCTAGAAGAGGTTTTTTAGCTGTAATAATGCTCTAATGCTGAAAAACACAGAAAAATGTGGAAAAACTCTGCAAACTGGCATTTTTGGACTTTTTTTGAGAAAAACAAAAAAAATTGTTTTTGTTAAAAAAACGCTAAAAATCACAAACGTGCAAAAACGCTAATGCAAAAACGCTAAATAACGCTGAAAAACTCAGGTTTTTAATATGACTTTACACAGCTAACTTTACCAGCGTGCATGGAGCTTAGAGGCAGAGGCATGATGGGATTTGTAGTTTTACCACCATTGAAGTGCTGAGGTTATCCTTTATCGAGTTCTAGATAAGAGATCCCAGACTGTTATTTTAATGGCTACTTTCGATAATAATAGACAGGCTGAGTTTCTTGGTTACTATTTGCTGTGATAATGGGGAGTATGATAAAGACGAGAAACATGTTAAATGTTTGGAGCATATTGAAGAAATATGAGTTAATATGGCGTCTTACTGAGTTCTGGCAATTGCTTTCATAATGCTGTTGTTATATCTAAACTTTGTATCGGAGGATAA